TGGGTGGTGGTTCGGGTGAGAAAGATGAGACGGACGAAATGAAGACAGAAGAGAGTGAAAGATTATCTGTGGAATATTACTGCCTCAGCATTTGCCTAAGTGATCCAAGGAAACCACAGAAAAACTTGGACCAAGGCAGACGGACCCGGAATCGTACCGGCGTCCTCCCGAATGCTAGGCAATGGTGTAGACCTCTAGGCCATGCCGCTCGGTAAGCCGAGCCTGTAAATTTGCCCATTTTATGTAGGTACAAATGACAAGACAACATGTTGTCGATCGTCGCATTCTATTCGATTGATTCTTATGAAACGTAGGTGCAGGCCTCGACGCAGCTGTGAAGGAGGCGTGTTTAGAGAGTAAAGACAGGATATCTTCCGTTTGTAAGAACGAGAAAAACGATATGCCTTTAGTGTGCATTATTTATTGGGGACTTTGCCTTCTTATTTCGACTGCACTATATATTAATACTAGTGGTTAGAGCATTGGTGCGCAAAGCCAAAGGTCCCGGGTTCGATTCCCGGCAAGGGTGTGACAACAACAACAAATTTTTCCCTCATTAACTTGAGGTAGTTTGTAGTGGGATTGAAAATTAAAAAAGAATTTTCACATTAATATAAAATTGATTTATACTTGAATCTTTACGATACCTTGATTGACAGTATACTACATGAATCCTCTGTTAATTCGATTGAGTATGTATTCATTGTTAATAACTATCTTATATGTGTACTACATGTCTTCTAAATGTGACCTTATAGGGTAAACGGTTGTTACGAATTTAAATTAAATAGTGCAGTTTAAAACTGTTCTAGAAAATGCTACTGTCATTACTTTGTGAGTCATTTGTGAATCATTTTATACTGTTATTTTATTATTCGATGCAAATAAAAGCAACGCATTCCAACTTCTTATCTAACAATTAGAGAAACATATGTCAGAGTAGAACTAATTCGATATCACCACTTAAGTCAATCAGCCGATCTTTACACTCCTTATACTATGCTGAATACGTAATTCAGTATGAAATTTGACCAAATCAATTAACGTTAATAATTGATTTGTCGACCTATAATTTTGAAAATACCAAAGGAGATAAACCGTTTTAGTGATGATTTACATTTGATTGTCATGATTATGTGATATTTCTATCTGAAGTCGAGTAATCAGCATCATATAAGTTCCTATTTTTTAAACAAGTCTCGTATAGATAAATTCCCAACACTAAAGCACACTATCTCCTACCGGATGTCGGTCACCCGCTTACGTTATCGTGGAGTGTTCCTGAATTTTCTAAACATGCAATCTTTGCAAACCCCTTTCAGCTTCCTAAAGAGGTAGAATTTTGTAAAATGTTGAAATAGGTATGTATGTCACTAATTTTATATGAAAAAGCCAAGTTTCAGGTAAATCTGACTATAAATAAAATACCATACTTAACCATAGACAACATTACGTTTAGCTGTCAGTTGCCTTTTGTTATACCATTTTTAACAAATGAATGGCTAGACTGATGTTTTGACAGATAAATTTGTCGTTTTGTTATCAGTTACGTTTTCTTATATCACTTTTTTTCCACGAGGAAGGGATTCTATGTCTGTCTTTTGGTTCTAAGCTATCTCCCACCAATTTTCAGCCAAATCGGTTCAGCCGTTCTTGAATTATAAAAAAAGTGTAATTAAAACGACTTTCTTTTACGTATATAGATTTAACCGGTTACTAAACAAAATTACATTCAAAAACTAAAGAGCTGGTGTGTCAAACTGCAACATCTATTTTTCTATATTGACTTAATTAGAACGATTAATTTTTTTATTGCTATGGTTTTTTATGACATAAGTCGGTTTAATTTAAAAAAAAAAATTCATTGGCATTGTCCAGTAAGTAATGATAATATAAAAGCTGTTATGTAGAATTATTTTGGAGATCCTACCTACATGTGTAGGTCCGTTTTATATACAGAAACGAGCAAGAAGACGGCTGGATAGAAAACAATTAAATTAGATTGCAATTAACGTAATTGTAACAAAAGTAGTCGAAAGAATTAACTGTTGCTTTAATCAGCTAAAGGAAGGTAACGTATGAAATGACAATTGTAAACATTAAGAATGTTTAATAGTATTTATCTATCAGCCCGTTAGTTGATTTGAGACATTGAATTATAATACAAATGAACTATTTTGATTGGTTAGTTTAGCTATAGATTTAACCAGTTTCGCACACTGTATAATTTATTACATAAATCCCAATTTACACATCTACATAAAAATTGTTGTTGTTATCAAAAACTTTTTGGGGAACTAGACCTAACATAATGAGTCAAACTTTATTTTCAGGTGTTTAAATGGCTTCTAATCCGTGTGTAAGATGCCTGTGCTCAGTATTTTGGTTTATTGCTTTGATTACTGTTTCGTTCATAGTTGCAGCGTTTGGTTGCATTCTGTATTTAATATTCTCTCCTTGCGCACCCTGTTGTGGTTGGGCACAGGTAACTAATCATAATTACATTTCGAATTTTATTTAAAAACGCAAACTTTTTTATGTATAACTAGTTCAAAATCTCATGAGCCTTCGCACGTGTGACAGACGAACCCTATTACGTTATTACATCGCGAAAAGATTAACTCTGCTATTAACTACGTGCCTCGCAATACAGCCAAGATTCCAGTTCCTGATAAAGAGAGGGCCTATGTTTTTAAGATGGAGAAATGTGGACGTCAAGGAACTGGTGGAAATCTGTCATTACGTAACCCAAGGTCAAGGATCATGAGATTCTGAATTACCTCAATAGCGTAGTAGAAATTTGCTGCTTATTGTGGAATTCAATAATCTTCCACAAAGATATTAACTTATCAAACTGGACCTATGACTTAGCTCTGTAGCTCCATAATAGGCAAATAGATGTTACGTCATGCCGAAGTTATTTTAAAAGTGGCTTGTTGTTAAAATTTGATTTTTCACTAATATTTACGCATTATGGTATACGGTAATACTCAAATATCAATAGGTGCAAGCATTTTTATTTCAAAAAATTATGTATTATATTGATTTTCCGTGGCCTACTTAAAACCAAATGGTCAAACCTGTTGTTTCTCACATTTATATATAGGGTTGTTCGGAAAGTCATTTCGTTTTTTCCCGACAGAGGATTTAATTGTATTCTTTTCCACCCAACTTCACATTTAAGCCGTATAATTTTTATATGCTTTGAGAGCTCATATAGCAAGGCTTGTGTGTGAAAAATTCCAATTAATTCTACGCAGTAGTTTTTGGTTGGTGCCCTTTTAAATATGGAGAACGATAAGCAGCATTTTCGACATATCTTACTGTTTTACTACAGAAAGGGTAAAAATGCTGTTCAAGCCAGAAAGAAATTGACTGATGTGTATGGAGAA